GGGCTGGGGTTCTGTGCGGGGCTGGGGCTCTGTGTGGGGCTGGGGCTCTGTGTGGGGCTGGGGATCTGTGTGGGGCTGGGGCTCTGTGTGGGGCTGGGGTTCTGTGTTGGGCTGGGGTTCTGTGCAGGGCTGGGAATCTGTGTGGGGCTGGGGCTCTGTGCAGGGCTGGGGCTCTGTGCAGGTCTGGGGTTCTGTGTGGGCTGTGGTTCTGTGTAGGGCTGGGCTGTGCAGTGGGGGCTTGCTCCTGTGCTGTCTGCCCCCAGGCTGGACGCCCCAGAGAGCCTGTCCGTCCTGTCTGCATGGAGGCCCCCTGGGTCTGGGGCACACGCGGCATAGAGCAGGCTCAGGAAATACTGGAGAAAGGGCCCAGCGGCTGTTCCTCTGAGTCTGGCCACAGCGTCCCCCTGTCCCTTCTGTCCACAGGCCTTCGAGATCACGTTGGCGGTGGGTGAAGGGAAGGGCGTCAACAAGCGGATCACCTACACCAACCCCTACCCCTCCCGCAGGACGTACCACCTGCACAGCGACCACCCGGACCTGCTGCAGTTCAAGGAGGACTCCTTCCAGGTGCGGCGCCCGCCCGGGAGGCGGCGGCCTCTGCTCCCGGCAGCGGCGGCGCCTGGTGGGCGGGTGACCTGGAGGAGGTGGTTGGCACTGCCTTTAGGAGTGATTCCGTTGAGTCAGGGGCAGTCTTCACAGAGTCCTGGGAGAGTGACAAGTGTCATCCTACACTTGGGTGACCCGATGTTTCTTCACTTGCCAGAGATTTGGCGAAGCTTCTCCCCAGAATGGGAAGGAGCGGCGTGCCCGGGGTCTTCACCGTAACGCTGGGAAACTTATCTAAGAAAATAAGTGTGCTTTGGGGTCTGAGTAACGTGTCACCCTGCTCCCCAGGCACTGGGGTCTCTGGCGGGCCACAGGTGCACCCCGAGGGCTCACCGTCCTTGGGCAGCGCCTGTGAGCCGCTGTCCCGCCGCAGATGTGCATGACTGTGCGGAGAGGTGGCTGGATGAGAGCGGGGACAGCCCGGGGTGGACGCTGGGATTTTGACGCTCATTTCCAGGTCGGAGGAGGAGAGACCTACACGATCGGCCTGCAGTTTGCCCCTGGTCCGGGCGTGGGGGAGGAGGAGATTCTCATTTACATCAACGACCACGAAGACAAAAACGAAGAGACGTTTTGTGTGAAGGTCGTCTACCAGTGAGGGCGGGGGGCGCCCGTCCTCCCTGCAGCCCCCGGCCCCTGCCCACGTGCCTGCGCTGCTCTGCGCTCCGTCCTGCCCTCGGCCGCGGGCCTCGGGGACCTGCCGGATGACCTGTGAACTCGGCTGAGGGCGGAGCCCCCATCACTTGTAACGCCGTGTCTGGTGGAGCAGCTGACGGCCACCGAGGCCAGTGTGAGCGGGAGCTCTGCGGTGGCTCTGGCGCGGCCCCTGCCAGCGGCCCCTGCCCGCCCGTCTCCATCCGAAACTCTGTGTTGATTTGCTTTTAGCAAAGTGTATTTTACGAATCATCCCAGATGATAGGAATTATGTTTCTCTTACCGGATTTTGTATAAACATAATATATGATTTGCCATGCAATGTTTTATACTGCTATTAATAATCCTTCACATCTGTTTTTTAAGTTATTAAGCAAAATATTATACTGAACTTTTTCACGTTTTCTCCGTTGGCAGTTTTCTTGCGTTTTCTGTCTGCAGCATAAGTGTGGTTTCCCTTGAGGACAGCGTGGCTGGGGGCAGGTGGCCGTGCCCTGCGCCTGCGTGGGGAGTCCACTCAGGCCTGTCCCGGGGCAGGGAGGTGTGTGCTGACACCACAGGGGCGACTCCTAGGTGGGGGCGGGAGCCCGGCGGCGGGAGCGCCAGGGCTGCAGGTCCTGCCCTCTGAGTGCAGGGCTGTGTCGCGGCCGCCGCTGACCTAGCAGGGAACACGCGTCCCCACTGGTACCGCAGTGACATTGTTTGCTCTTCGCAGTAATTCTGGTGGCTCTCAGTCCCTGCTGCTTCTGTGCAGGCTCTGACTGTGACACGGTCCCCGTGCACTTTAGTTAGATCCTGGAGGTCAGAACTGTGGC